TTGCTGATAATTTATAGTATGCCTAAGTATTATTATGAAGTGTCGGATTTTAAAAACTGTCAGTAATAACAAGCAGGATGTTTTGTAATCTGTGCCCGAACGACACGAAAACTTAACTTGCTTTTAATGATGGCAACGTTGTAAGAAAAACCATTCTTGTGATATTCATGATAAAATTAATGATTCGTTGTAAGATTAAAAAAAAAGTGAGTGACATGTAATAAAAATATTTGCCAACAGCAAAACTCTAATTAAACGCAATCCAAAGTCTAAACTAATTATATGATATATATATTAAACTTAACTAAGTAGCGACCAAAGGTGCGATTTTGCCTTACACGGCAGACGGCAAGCAACAGCAGGCGTCAACGCAACGAGAGTGCTACGGTTTTCAGTAGTAATTATCAAATCGCATTAAGAAAATATTTATTTGCAAACTTCATATATACAACTGTGTAGAGAAAAAATAAAAAAAACTATGCTAAACATTAATAATTACAAACAAAGTAATGACAAGCATGGTCTTTATGAAGCAACTAGCTGTCGCCCGCGACCCCGTCCGCGGGGAATTAAGAAAAAATATTAGTAGCAACGTAATATTATATAGCCTACAACCTTCCTAAATGGACTATCCAACAAAAAAAGAATTTTTCAAATCGGACCAATAGTTCCTGAGATTAGCGCGTTTAAACAAACAAACAAATAAACTCTTCCGCTTTATAATATTAGTATGGATAAAATTTGGGTACATCATTAAAGGCTCGTCATTTTAAATGTATATATGCGAATTATTTAATGTGGACCTTCCCCGATCCCCGCACGAACTTCGTCCCCGGCGTCCTGTACTTCGTCGTTCTAGCCGTGCACTTCGTCCTTCTCGCCGCGCACTTAGTCCTTCTCGCCGCGCACTTCGTCCCCCGCGCCCTGAGGCCGGCAAAGCTCGCTCGACGCAATTAACCATATTGTTATATTAATCGGATTTCTCGTCGTGTTACACCGAGTCCGTTGATGCACAGATAAATATCTTCTTATTGCCTATTTACTTTATGATTTATGTACGTCGTCATGTGTTAATGTCTGCTGAAATTGTATGCTTGTATGCTTAGGTTTATTGCATTATTTATTTGGTTTTATTTAAACAGCAAATGAAGCATAGTTAATAAGGATTGTAATCATAAGATGTAAAGTAAATATTACAAATCGTTATATTGGAATGTAGTCCGAACAATCTGTTTGATAGGAATCAGAGAAGATGGGATCCTGCGCAATAACACTACTAAATTACTTATCTTACTAAATATTATAAATGTTTGTCTGAAGGTATCTCCGGAACGACTCAACGGATCTTGATGAAATTTTACACAGATGTAGAACATAGTCTGGAAAAACACATAGGCTACTTATTAAGTTTTTTTTTAATTCCTTGCGGACGGAGTCGTGGACGAAATCAACAAAGCAGTAATTCCACTGTCATCCTTATTGTTTAACTTAGGAAAAACAGAGACAGCAATACTATATTTAGGTTCCAAGATATAATACTACGGACAAATTCTATGGCCATTAATCCCGAACTCAACAGTTCGACAACAAAATCTGTCTATTCACGTTAAGCGATGATTACGGATGCAGAGGGAATTGAGTCAGTATCATGAAAGGCATTTGTGATTCAATTGAATACGGAAAGGGGAAAATGGATTTTGTGTACAAATGGACATTTGCGTCACATAATTTACTGTTATTAAAAGCTCGAATTGGTAATTAACAGAGCTTAAATGTACAAAAACAGTCCTACAGTTATTACGAGAATGATTTTAGAGGTTTGGATGGTACTAGAACCTCTTTTAAAGGAGTAGACGAATTTTACTTCTTATTTTGTCTACATATTAGTCTGTTATTGTCTGTTATAAATAAACTCTTAAAAAAAATCAATCGCTTTTTTAATTTGATTATATGAAAAAACATAGGCATTAATTTATTAGTAATTATTCGTTTTTTATCTTAAAACTAGTGGTCGCCTGCAACTTTTTCACCGCGGAATTTAAAAACTTAGTAGCCTATGTGTTCTTCATAACTATGTTCTACATCTATGCCAAATTTCATCAATATTTATAATATTAGTAAGATAAGAATTGGTATACCACAGATAAAAATATAAACCTTTTCTTTCACACCAATGTCAAAGAATTTATCATAATCAAGTCAGATACGTGATTCCGGAATGAACATGAGCTTAGCTATCAGCACATTTGTTCCCAATTAAAGCGTTGAAATACTCACTGGGAATGCCTTGAGTCGTAATTAATATCTTTTGAATGCTCTCACTCAGCACATGTGGGAGTCGAGTTACAGATTTATTGCATACTTATATTTTGATTTTTTGATTACGTGTTAAATAGTTAATATATCTAGAAACTTAGTTATAAAGTCATTAACAGCTATAATGTAGTGCAGCACCGGCACACAGGCGCGGGCGTTAACTTACTTGAATTCGCGATTAAATCACAAGCTCCACCCCTGGTTAGATGTGAACACTCTTATACAACTTCCTATGTTTGAAATTTCGCGTCCGAGTACGCGCCCTCGTAATAAATATGAACAAGTACTTATTGTAGGTTTCAGACCATTTAAAACATATTATCTGAGTTTTTTCGATATGTTTATACAGAGATTTTGGTACCAGAAACGTACCAGTCCAGTAATCCTAAAATGGTAAGATCTCTGAGGTTCTGAGTCGGCGCTAGGTACACAAACCAGTAAATTTTGAAATGGGCTCTATCTAAAAGGTTGGTAATCTCTGGTCTCTAGACTCTGGTAATTATACGAGACAAAGTTGTAAAACTTTTTTTTATATATAAAGAAGCGGACAGTGTTGACGCCCCAATTATCTTTGTATCAAAAAAAGTAGAATTAACGTCCTTAATTAAAATTTATGTCTGATTGTAATAAAATATTTTTTTGTTGACCAAACTGTCTTCCTTTCTTAATTACAGCGTCAATAAAAATGAAATGTGTGTTTAAAAATGACCAACCGACCGGTCACACAAAACAGTAAATTTAAAATGCAACACGATATCATATAAAGTTAGTTTCACACGAGGGAAGTGTAGACAGTTCTGCTGTTTGAACGCAAACTTACCGTATTATAGTGTTGTCCTTTTTTTTTTCTCAGAGGGGAATGCTTTATGTATGCTCCGCGCCCCGGGGGGGACGCGGTAGTTATGTGGGATTCTCCTCCATAACGGAGGCATACCCACTAAACCCCTCTGTTCCTCCAACGCATCGGGACGGGACCACGGGCACGCTTTCGCTCTCGTCCGCGTCCCCGTCTGCGCATTATAGTGTTGTCCTTGACAAAGTATCAATTGATTAGCGATATTGAACACGAAGTTAAAAATGTATAAAAGTAGCAATAGTATGCTAGTCATGTATTTATTCTTATACATTTTGTAGATTTAACTAGCGAATGAAACTGTGTCTACGAGATTTCTATCACGGCGCTGTAGTTTCAAGCAATAGCAATACTATTCTGTCCTACTGTTCTGCGCACTGTATTACCCTAGTGTGAAACTAGCCTAACGTCCATTTTTAATTACAAAAGGTTCCGCACCTTGTCATATCCGCTTCGTTGTATAAACACAGACAAACAGTCCATTTTTTAAGGGTGGCGACTTTGTTATCAATGTTAAATGCCCGACACGCTTCTAGATAACGATGCGGTCAATATTTGAAAATACATCAGTGACTTACTAGAAGTGGCTTCTTCATTTCTTACCTGTTATACTACATTAGGTAAAGCATATGGCAATGATTATAGAAAAATGATTGTAAAAATAATTGTAGTAATACTAGCCGTCGCGACTCCGTCAACGGGGAATTAAAAAAAAATAGCAGCCTATGTGTTCTTCCAGACTGCTCTACATCTATGTCAAAATTCAGCGAGAGCCATGCCGTTCTAGAAATAACAAACATCTATCCATTCATTCAAACTTTATACAACCAATTTTAAAAATGAGAAATTAAAAAATACAGTAAATATTTAAAATTAAAACAATAAATTGAAACAAATTCTCAACGTAATTTTCCGTATGAACTCACGCAGAAGCGAATCCAACAAATCTAAGTCAGAAATGAAATAATAATATTAGAACAGTTGTAGAAAGTCGGGACTTGGTCTCATTTAAAGTTCAACGATAAATCCTAAAACGAAATTGTTCGTAGAAACGCCATAGTAAATAAAGATTAAAGTGTTTAATCAGTTCGCTTCAAAACTCATGACCTGCTTCGTAAGTCAAAAAACTTTTGACTAATTTGTATTGAAAAGTTTTCCTCAAATTTGAGAAATTTAAAAACAAAATTTAAGTACAAAGCAAACCTAAAATAGAACACGAAATATAACTTGTAGTTCTTACTTACCATAAAACTGTGTAGTTAATTCTTTAAATATTTGAAACTAAAACAAACGTTATATAAATTATGGGCATCAAAATATTGCCTTATGTCATCTCCTATACTAGCTGTTGCACGCGACACCTTCTGCGCGGAACTTAAAAAAAACTTATTGACTAGCCTATGTGTTCTTCCATACTATCTTCTATATGTATGCCTAATTTCATCGAGATCCGTTAAGCCGTTCTGAAGATATCTTCAAACAAATATCCATCCATCTAAACATTCACATCTTCTATTATTTATTTTTGCAGGTCCTGGGTTCGAATCCCGCCATGTACCAATGTGTTTTTCGATTTCCACTATTACATTTACATATGTATAATACGATTTACATATGTACATTTATCCGACGTTCTTACGGTGAAGGAAGACATCGTGATGCAACCTGCACATATCTGAGAAGAAATTCAAAGACATGTGTGAAGTCAACCAACCCGTAATTGGCCAGCGTGGTTGACTATGGCTTAATCACCCTTAACTTAGGGTAGGCTCAGAGCCCGTCATAGTAGTGAGCTGATGATAAACTTATATTATTTAATATAAAATGTTACCTTAATGTTTGTGTTCTACAGTCGAGAGATTACCTGTAAACATAAAAATTAAAAAATTTCAAACCATCAATTACATCGGATTGAGACGTTTCGAATATTTGGGCTTTTTACATATCATATCTAAAGATACATTAAAATTTGACACTGCATTAGTATTAATGGAAGATTATTACGGCTTAATAGTGCGTGTAGGTGTAGGATCAAAGAAACGTTATGCGTTTCGGCTAACCATTCCAAGATAAAGGCGTGTTATTGAGACGCCTATACTCTCAGAATGGTAGATTACATTTTTATTTACTGCCTCAAAACGTTTGATAATACATGTCTTAATTAACAAAGCGAGAGAACTCCGTATGCTTTTAGTAGAAAAAAACTATAAACTATCGAAACACTTTAAAAATGTGTTCTATTTTGTATTTTATTACGATCGCTGTAAAGTTTGATATTGATTTAGAAATGGAACTATTTAATCGATCAAAAAACATGTGTAACGTACCACTATTTAATAGATCGGTAACGGACGATTTACATATGTTCTAACAGCAACTAATATCCATTTGCTTCGTAGTGTTTTGATTAGAAAATGTTTTTCTACATGTACCATATACGAATAATTCTGGCCTAAATAAAAATAATACTATTTCAAGCTATATACTTTAAAATGAATCTATAATGAATATTTTTTTTTATATCATAAGGTGGCAAACGAGCGAGCAGCCACCTGAAATCGCTGACATAACGAAGTGACTGTTGCCCATAGACATACGCAATTGCATATGCGTTGCCTACCTTCAATCGACGGAGGAAAGAATGCACAGAAATAAAATATTTTCCCTTTCCATGCATCCTCTCATACCGAAAGTCCACTTCAACTTCCCATCCTTTCTTTATAAGAACATGGGTGGGAAGGGAAAGAGGACTAAATAAGGCCTCCGGGACGCACACTCATCAGACGAAACGCGGGATTGCTTCCACTTCACGCCTGTCTTCTGTGTGGTCGTGGTATTTACCGGGCGAGCCGGGCCAATTCGTGCGAAGATGTTAAAACGGGCTCTACCACTGTTAAGTTCCCATAATCTGAAGTTCTTTTCAATTAAATGTTAATACCGTAGTATAAAACAAAGTAGACAAACTCCTTTAGATCGGTTAGGGTGATATTTATTTGGAGGAAGTCGAATCAATCACAACCAGTAATCCTGTTAGGCTATAAACAAACTCGGACAAATGCCGATAAAGCTGAGTTTTACGATCTGCCACCTCGTTTATTACAGAGAGCGTTCGGGCGAAACAAAAGTAAAGGGAATCGAGTATTAACAAATAGGACCGCACTCAATGGCATTGTTACTAACACTAATAAATTTACGATACGATTCCGATAGAAAGAGTATTGGAATATTTTGGTGTCATTAAAATGTTCTATCGTTATCGACTTATGGTCTGATTTAGATTTATTTATGACATTCTGATTCCTTTTGTATACAGTTTTAATGTTCTATGTTTTTATTACTTGATTTATTAGTTTATGTCCTTGTATTTATGACTCAATACTAAAATGTTTTCTGACATATCTCCTTTATATTAAGCTTCCATTACTTTGTTTACATTTTAATTTAAGTTACTAATAACATTAAAATGTTTAATCGCATCAAATGACATTATCTTTAACTGTGAGTTATAGAACTTATGAGATTGAATGTGGATGGCTACAAAGGTAGCGGAAGACCAAAAAAACGTATGGAATGACTGTGTGAAAGAGGATATGCGTAGGAAGGGGGTAGATACAGATATGACGGCTGATAGAGATGTATGGAGGAGTACGTACTATGCCGACCATCCATAGGGATAAGTGCAGGTTGATGATGATGAGAACAAATTGTTTTTTACTTAACTAAATTCCTATTAATTTGCAGTTGATTATGCTCATCGTAAGTTCCAGTGACTTTGTGTTAGAAGAAATAAGTAAAGGCTTATTCATCTTTGTTACTCTGTTAGAATCTTTTAGATTGTGAATGCTTATTGTTTCAAGAAAAAGAAAAAAACAGGAAGGCTTTAAATAATACGAAGGCCCAAAGAAGCTTTTAACAATCATTGAGATAAAAACGTCACTATGACAACCGACTCACGACCGAATCGGAATCCGAGATCGTCAGGATAGGCAGCCGTGTAACAGATTCGAAACTCCACTGACAGGGTCGTAGCTCTCGTCCCAGTAATAAGATTAATGCTACTCGTGCCCTCGGGCGAGATAAGATTTCTCAGCTGTGGAAATAAAGAAAAATGCAAGACGTCAAGCCGTCTGTTACATATAACGTGCTTAAAGCACTCGATTTGAACCTAAAAGATTATACCAATACTACATTTGACAATTTTTCGTGCAGTATAAATTATTTCGCACAAATATTCTGCTTAAGAGACACAACAAAAAGCTTCACACCATTATACTAATGCATGTCAGTCTCATTGACCAAATGTTTGAGGGTTTAGTGGATTTGAAAGACTACAATAGCCTCCAAAACATTTTGAAAGCAAAGGATAGACTTAAACTAAGGTAACACTTAATATAGGAAAAGAGACTAAATACATTTTTTTTAAATAACGTTTTTACTAAACAAATAACCATAAAATATATCGAAGGAAGAATTCTTTTACTTCCGCCTTCAGCGTTATAAATCTCATCAGATAAAACTATTTCGTGTATATTCACTCGGATTATTTATTATTTATGTTTTTCTTTAGTCTGATTTCGAATAAGCTTTTCTGTCTTTATTTGTTTAATTGCAAAACTAAATTTATTAATTATACTTGGTACATTTGGTAACATTGAACAATTCGGTTTATTATTGTACTCGTACTGGATGCACAGGATGCACAAGGCACAGGACCGGGCATTGTGGCAATCGATGGCAAAGGCCTACGTTCAGATGTGGATGAATTTAGGCTGATTATTATGATGATTGTACTCGTATTAGTCTGTAGCTAAGTTAGAACTATAGTTCATAAATTAATCTTTATTCACCAATATAAATGAAACAAAAGAAGGTTTCTTTCTTTTTTCGAAAATATCTTTTTAGCAATGAAATTGAAATTCAATGCATAAATTACGTTCATTCTGAACAGGTCGGATATAAGACAAGGCGAAAAGCAAATAGCCGTATATTCGCGTGAAATATATAACAATGTATATAGAAAGCGGAGAGAATCTTCGGTGAGATATGAGATCGTGCCTCTTGCCTGATTAAAAAAACACAAGCATTTTGCTATTATATTCATAAAGTGGTTTTGATATTATGAAATTTGAATTTTTGGTATTTATAAACACGTAGTTAGTAAGAAATTACTCTTAAATACCTTAATGCCTCGTGTTGATTAATGATAACCGATACGAATAATCTTACTTCTTACTAAAATTATAAATGCGAATGTTTAGATGAATAGATGGACGGATGTTTGTTAAAAGGTATCTCAACAACAGCTGGATGGATCTCGCTGAAATTTATCATAGATGTAGAAAATAATCTGGAGGAACACATAGGCTACTAATTAGGATTTTGTTTTAATTCCACGCGGATGGAGTCGCGGTCAACAGCAAATAGGGTTATAAATCTAAAACACCTTAAAATTTCCCTTTAAGATGCCTCAATTGTTTTGCAAGACAGTGATATGTTTCTTTTGTTTTTTAAAAGTTTTGTGTTAAAAATTATATTAGTTACGCATTTTTCATCGTTAATAATGTAGTATACATTTTTAAGTGTTCCTGTATTATCATTTGAAGCGTCAATAGCCTAATGGTTAAGAGTACGGGTTTCCAATCAAGAGATCGGTTATTTCGAATTCCGCCATTCGACTATTGTTCCATGTCCTAGCACAAGCTTAGTTGGAATGGTCCAAGAAATATTAGTAAATTAACTAAAATCTGCTAATAATTTAAAAAAAAATTAAAAAGAAATTCGGATTCTATTCATGCGCGTAACATAATTATACGACGTATTCGCGAGTATAATACTTCATGATACGTATCTATAAACGTATTAAAAAGTAATTCAAAGCGAAAAGTTTTATCGAATGTTATTATCTTCCGATTAACATAAATTTTATTCGTTGCCCGATGACAGCACGGACCGCCTATCCGAAGCCACCTTTTAAAAGTTCAAAGGTCGTTACTGTATTAATTTAAGACAAGGAATGTCATAATTTCGAGTCTTTTGGTTAACTGAAAAGTGATATTTTGCGGTATTTATATCTATTTGACTATGGCCAAATCACCCTTAACTTAGGGTAGGCTCCGAGCCCCTCGGTGGGAATGTTGGAAGCTGATGATGATGATGATGATGATGATTATGTCTATTTCATTGTGACATGTTGTAGTCTAAACAGCATTTCAGATTTTAAAGACTTGCTCGATCCGTATTCTATGAAAAGTACTAGCTTTTGCCCGCGACTACGTCCGTACGAAATAAAAAAAGAACTTAATTAGTAGCCTTTATGTTCTTGCAGACTGTGTTACTACATCTGTGACAAATTTCAACGAGATCCATGTAGCCGTTATGAAGATCATTTCTAATAAACATCCATCCAAACATTCGCACTTATATTATTGGTAAGAAGTTTTAGACATTATTAGTAGGAATCCTTTGGCGCGAATGACGCGCTTTCATTACATAGTGAGGGGACATACGCCTCGATATTTTAATAAGACTAGTGTTGTGCCGGTACACCGGCACAGTGTCGGATTTTCTTCCTTACAGAAGTAAGATGGTTTCGTATCAAATGTATGAAGCCAGTTGGTTTTGTCAGTAGTAATTGTAAATATAAAAATAGATATTAGAGTAATTTTTAAAAGAAATAAATCTACTAATAAAAATCAATTTAGAAAATATTTAATACGGAACCATAGAACATTAAACGTTTCACACTTTGTGTTGTTTTTTAATATCGTGGATTGTAGTCAGGTACGATTTGAATAATGCCGTCATGGAAGCCGGGGATGAAATAAACAGCTTAAGAATGAGAACCGAAATAAATATTGCCTTGAT